CAGCTAATTTTGTATTTTTAGTAGAAATGGGATTTCTCCATGTTGGTCAGGCTGGTCTCAAACTCCTGACCTCAGGTGATCCGCCCGTCTCGGCCTCCCAAAGTGCTGGGATGTTACAGGCATAAGCCACTGCGCCCTGGCCAACAATTGTATTTTACCAATTGTCCTTAATAGAAAGTTAGACCAAAATAGAAAGTAGCCAGGCATGGTGGCTCATGCCTGTAGCCCCAAATTTTTGGGAGGCTGACGGAGGAGGATCACATGAGCCTAGAATTTCAAGACCAGCCTAGGCAAGATGGTGAAACCCCGTCTCTACAAAAAAATAAAAAATTACCCAGGCATTGTGGCACATGCCTGTAGTTTCAGTTACTCAGGAGGCTGACACAGGAGGATCACTTGAGCCCAGGAGGTCAAGGCTGTAGTCAGCTGTGATTGTGGTAAGGCACTCCAGCCTAGGCAATAGAACCAGACCCTATCGAAAAAAAAAACAAAGAAAGAAAGTTGATGGGCCCTTTATCCCTCCATTAAAAAAAAATGTTAGGTCATTCTGTAGGTCATAAGCATGATGATTGGGTTTTCATGCTCAAGCGTGAGACGTACCTCCCTCAAACCTTGCTACAACATTGGTAATATACCAATGCCTGACATTAAAAAAAATGATTGGCTTGTAAAATAAAAGCCTTCTATAAACTACAGTGTGTATAAAATACTATATTTAGATATTTTTTAAAAGAACAAAATTGTGGTCATTTTATTTTTTCATTATTCTTCATCTGATTCCAGAAAGGATTTAGGGAAACTCACTAAATTCCTTTGATCTAATGCCCTGATTGACTTCATTCCAAAGGCCTCACATGGGACAATCTAAAAGGAACTCAAAGATACCTTTTCTCCCTCCTCCTGCGGGGTGAACATGGATCCAAGGGGTGACTTTCTTTGCCTCCTCCCTGAGACTGTGCAGGGGAGGGAGGCAGAGAAACAAGCAATGCTTTTTCTGTTTTGCTTTTTCCGGGCTGCTGGCCACCTATCCCTTAATGACTCCAGGCCCTGTTTCTTAAGTGATGCCATACCCAACCTGCAGCAGGGCCGGTGGGGTGGGTGTGAAGGGGTACAGGAGGTATGTGAACAGAACGAAGGTGGGAGAAAGATTCATGAGTGGCAGTGTGGGGAAGATAATCAAGTGGCGAGGGAAAGAATAAGAGACAGTAGGAGTAGGGGAAGGCTTTATAAATGGTGGAATTTAACTTCTGGGAGGGGGGAGAGAAGTGGTGTTTGCTTAGGCATTTGCTCAGGGGGAATGTTTACTCATGGTTAAAGCCAGAATGCAGTTAGTGTTAAAGCAGAAATGAAGCTGTATTCCAGGCAGGAGGCGGGCATGATGGAGTGCAGGCTGTGTGTTGAAAGTGTGCATACAAGACAAATTGTGACAAGATGATGCTCTGGACACAGGAACTCTAAATTCTCCGGTTCTGATGGCAGATTTGTACTAAGTCATGCTGTCCTACTTTCTACATCCTTGCTTCTGAGATGGCTGTTTGGGTTTAGGGGTGTTTTCCGTGACCATGGAAAAAGTGAATCTTACTGGCTCACTTATGAATAGACTCAATGTGGTTTGGATGCTACACTGTCTTGGACCTATGCTGAGTTAGACTTCTCGCACGTTGAGATCATAAATCAGGAAACAGCATGCACACACACACCCTTACATGCAAGAGATGCAGCTGCTAGAATCAGGTGGACTCTTCCCTGCCACAGGGCTCCTGGGCTTGCCATTTGAGTGGCTGCAGCTGTGCCTGGGAGGATGGGGCTCCTGCCTGCTCCTGGGCCCCAAGAGGACGGAGATGCCAGGGTCCATAGCCATGGCTTGGGCAGCTGCAGTGGCACCTGGGAGCTCCTGCCCCAACTCAGAAGCGACGGGGCTCCCACTTGTCCCTGGCTCCCGCTGGCTCTATGGAGCTTGCAACCCCAGCTGCAGCCACTCCAGACGGACCACCACTGCCATCATAAGCACATGGTAGGTTTCTTTGGCAACCAGACCCATCCTGAAGCTATCTAGGGGCTTTCAGCTCCCAGTCATCTCATTAACATAAACTCAGGTGTAATCAAAATTCAGGGGCTTGTTATGGATAACAAAAAAGCTCCTGTCACCTCTGTCATTCAGAAAGTTATACAAGGGGTTAGAAGCTGTACACCAGGGGACAAAGACAAAATATATATTTCTTTTTTTTTTTTTTGAGATGGAGTTTCACTCTCGTTGCCCAGGCTGGAGTGCAATGGTACAATCGCGGCTCACCGCAACCTCTGTCTCTTGGGTTCAAGCAATTCTCCTGCCTCAGCCTCCCAGGTAGCTGGGATTATAGGTGTTAGCCACCGAACCTGGCCCAAAATATATATTTCTTATTAGGTCTGCTAAGTTCGGTTTATCCTAAAGTAGCCTCCTTACATAGTTTAAGTTCAGTGTAAAGATCTTGTCATACATAGTGAACTATAACCTTACTGGATTCATAAACAGACTGTAACCTCCTCTTGTGCCAATCAGTGAATTTAAACCAATCAAAGGTGGCCAGCTATTCAAACTGTGTCCAAATAAGGCAAATGTAATCCAACCGTTTCTGTCTATCACTTTCCTTTTTCTGCCTGTAAGTCTTTTTTGACCACAGCTGTGCAGGAATCTCTCTGAACTTATTCTGCTTTAGGGGCTGCTTGATTTGCAAGTCATTCTTTGCTCAATAAACTCTCTGTTAAAATTAACTTGCCTAAGGTTTTCTTTTTAATAGATGGTGTCAGAAATGGGATTTGAAGTAGAGCTTCTAGTCCCCACCAGGGGTATTGAGTGACCAAACAAGGTACCCACCAGACGCATTTTGTCCATTGCTCTCTTACAACTGGGGATCATGGGTGTCTTCTCTCTCGGATTCTGAAGCTCCGTGGGTTTATGTTTTGAGCTATCTGTCTGTTTGAGTGAATTTTTGCTATGAGTTGGGTTTGGAAGTTGTGATATAAACTGGACTTGGTCTAGGATCACACTGGATGCAACAGTTAGCCGGCTTTGATCCACTTAGAGGCCTCAGATGTCTGAGTGGGTCAGAAACTGGCAGTAAACGGTAATAGTACAGAGGCTATGAACTTCAGCTTTTAGAAATTCACAGAGATTTCTGTGTTGTAATATTCCTTCCGTTTCTTTTTCTTGCACACTTAGGTAGGAAAAAACCATTAGCCAAGTTAATCAAATGGATCTGAGAGTTAAAGACAAGATCTAAAGTAAAAATGGAGTCCTTTACTACTGAAGAACTAATACTCCACCTTCCAGCTATGCTTTCCCATTCATGCAGAAATATTAGGCCCTGGAAGCAGGGAACATTTACAGAAATGGCAAGATCTTACTAAAAGTAATACAGAATTACAACATTTCAAATGAATACTGTACTTTAAGAAGTGCATTTAAAAATGAGGGTCCCAGACTGGGCATGGTGGCTTTTGTCTTGTAATCCCAGCACTTTGGGAGGCTGAGGCAGGAGGATTGCTTGAGCCTAGGACTTTGAGACCAGCCTGGGCAATATAGAGAGATCCTGTTTCTGCAAAAGACACAAAACAATTAACTAAGTGTGATGGCACATACCTGTAGTCATAACTACTCAGGAGGCTGAGGTGGGAAGATCACTTGAGCCTAGTTAGATTGAGGATGCAGTGAGCTGTGATCACACCACTGCACTCCAGCCTGGGTGACAGAACAAAACCCTGTCTCAAAAAAAGGTTAAAAAAAAAAATGAGGGCCCCAGAATTAGTCTCATCTAGGAGTTAAGTATGGATGTACAGATGCTTCTGAAAAGATTTCAAGATTTTTATTGCTTTGTATAAAAGATCTGGTTGGGCACGGTGGCTCATGCCTGTAATCCCAGCACTTTGGGAGGCCGAGGTGGGCAGATCACCTGAGATCAGGAGTTCAAGACCAGCCTGGTCAACACAGCAAACCCTGTCTCTACCAAAAAATGCAAAAATTAGCCAGGTGTGGTGGTGGATGCCTGTAATCCCAGCTACTCGGGAGGCTGAGGCAGGAAAATCGCTTGAACCCAGGGGACAGAGGTTGTGGTGAGCCGAGATCATGCCACAGCACTCCAGCCTAGGTGACAGAGCAAGATTTCGTCTCAAAATAAATAAATAAATAAAATAAAAAAGACCTTTATATGTTGTGAAAATGTCAACAAACAAAATAGTTTAAAAGCAAATAATTGGCCGGGCATAGTGGCTTACACCTGTAATCCCAGCACTTTGGAGGCCAAGGTGGGTGGATCACTTGAGGTCAGGAGTTCCAGACCAGCCTGGCCAACATGGTGAAACCCATCTCTACTAAAAATACAAAAATATGCTGGGCATAGTGACACATGCCTGTA